ATAATACAAGAAAAGAAGTCGTCTTAATGAGAAAAAAAAGCTTCGACTGAGTTATCAAGGTCTGACGTAACCAGCTCAACCAAACTGCAGACTTTATTCTCGCAATATTACGACTTCATTCTCGTAATTTCCCAAAAGAAAAATATTTTTTTCCTCTTAGTCTGGCCCTAATACTCCGTCGTACCTATGAGAGCAGCCTTTAGTGAAAACCAGGCCGGCATGAAGGAGACTGTCTTGGCCTTATGGCTTTCTGTGGCACGTCATTAGTCTGCCTAACTAGATAATAATGACTGCTTTCCATTATAGCCTAGTGTAGTACACATGGCACTCAGAGCTTCAGACCACCTTACCCATGCCAAGACAAGTCAACTCGCCTGACAAAGTAGTTCAGAGATCGCTCGCTCGCTTGCTCGATCTCCCACATCACTCTCCTTTTATGTCTTTATGATTACTCACACAACAAGTCCCTCTCTTTTTGTATTCTCAGCTGCTGCCAGGGTCGAGTTCAAGCTGAAATGCTATTCTGACAGGCAAGCAGGCATGCTGCTCATTTGCAGCTATTGCTGGTGTACTGTATGTGCTCACAGCAAAAAGATGTGCGGAATGCTGTACATAAAAGACAGGGTTTCTCAAATACTTCATTCCTCTGGAGGCAATGCTTGGATTTTGCAGAACATACACACTATAAAAGACATTCACATCAAGATAAATGAAAAGGAAGGTCATCCATGGTCTCCTGTCAGTGAGCATCACAAGGCACACAATCAGGTGTATTTTCAGCAAAGCTTTATTCTTTTGTCACTTTAGACTGTATCTTATAATTTACAATGACGAACATTCTGAATGTCTTGCAGTATAGATTTCAGCCCACAGAAATGACTAAGCTCTATTGTGCAAATGATAAAAAGGTGGCTAAAATAAGTCTGGGTGGGTTTACAGCCATGGTATGTTTTTTCAGTAGGTTTTGATATTCTAGTTTAAAAAGTCCCAAATGCACAAAATCTACGGCAACATGAATATATTTTTGAATTGTTATCACAATTGCAAAAGTGAATGTAGGGGGGAAAACAGTTGCTGTTGATTATGGATCTCTGGAGCTTTTTTGTCACTGCCTAAAAGCTCAATTCTTAACCCAAAATCTTTCCCAAAGCAACTTTCAAGTCCTCAGGTATTAACATCAGGGCAAAGGATGTCTAGATTAGAGCTGCATAGGTAAAAAAAAGTCAGTTCCATCTCAGTATGTACCAGGTCTTCAGTCATTCACAACCACCTAAAGGTATACAGATAGAGCTCATTGCTCTATCTGTATACCTTTATCTATCTATTGCTGCTTCTTGTACATGTAATAACAACCAGTATTAGGGACAAATATGGTTAGACCATGAGTGTTGTAGGGTATAGGTTTACTGACTTACCTTCAAATGAAAGTGTGAAGCTCCATGTTGAACTGTCTTCTTTTACCCACTGAGATCTTATAAGAGAAAGCCTTTCCTCTACACAGCATGTTCAGAAAAACATTTATGGATTATATTTGCTCCTGCCTACACCTGCAGGGTTTGGTGAAGCAGGCTTTTATGGCTTTGATGTTAGTTAGGCTGCTTGTTCCATGTATAGTTGAAAATAATAGCTATATACTGTCATAATGAAAGTGTGTGTGTTTTAGAGTGTTTTTGACACAATTAGAAACCGGAAATAAAACACCTCACAAGAAGTTGCTGTGCTACTTGTGCTTAAATACCTGTATTTAAAGGGTACTTAATCTATACATTCTGATTCAACAGATTCAAATTTCTGATACTAGTCTGTATCTTACCGCTATTTGATCATTGTAACCTTAATCTTGATGGACAGGAATAATACGAGCATAGATGGAATAGGTGTAAATTCTGACACTCATTAGGATTATGGGTGTGAATTGGACTGTATAAATAAACATTTACAGTATATTAACAATGAACTTGGTTAAATCTACTGCAATATTACCGTCATGCTGCAGATTATAGTATATGCTGTGCTATAGTTACACAATTTATGGGAGATCAGTATATTATACACATATCAAAAGGAATGTATTTATATCCTGTGTATAGCAGGTGCATTATGTATTTACAGCATAATTCAAAGAAGTCTATAGCTACTGTATGAATACAGTTAGTAGTGCTGATAGATCTCCTTTCATCCTACATCAATCAAATGAAATGAGTAGACAGTTCATTCTATGAGTTTCACACTTAATTCCAACCCAGTCATTATGACTGCAATACACTACTCAGATTATATAAATGGGCAATGCATGAAGAATCAAAGCAGTGTGGACAAAACAGAAGCCTTCCCAACCAACACTGCCTCGACTTAAAGGAGAGCTCACATGTACAATAGCTATAGGCTTTCAGGTAATCAGGTGACAGTGTCAGAAGGTATAAACAGTGTTTTTAAGATGAAATATGAATACTTTGAAGAATGTACATGTGCTCATGTGAATCTTTCATAAGTGTGAAAGGTACCTGGGGAACCTAGGTGTTGATTCAGCAGATTCACTCTGGAGCAAGATCCATTTTAACAGGTTATAAATAAGCTCTCATGTCACTGGCTTTAGCTGTGAGGCAGTGCACTCAGAATGACCCTGTTTAGGGTGTGAGCAACACAGCAAGAAACCTCATCAACTAGAATCACTCTGGATGATTGAGTCTGACCTGCTGTACATATACAGATGGTATAGATAGAGGTACAACATAGGTGTGAAGCACTGCCCACCATCAAACCTTGTGTCCTACTACTGAAGAGTTTTGCCAAAGGCAAATTTAGTGAAAAAATAATTGCTGTCTGGATTTTGGTCACTGGTAATGTTTTATAAATTTTTTTCAGTTGAAAAAATTACTATGTCCTTGTACCACTCATAAATAATTGGGAGGTGGCTGAAGTGTACAAACAACATAACTTTGGCAAAAGCAAGCACTTTTAGTGAACATTCTTCGACAGGTGCATTGTTCCCCAAGGGATAACAAATTAATCCACAAAGGAAAATATTTGAAAAAATTAAGAATGATAAGGAATAATTATTTTGCAGATTTTGGGGTGTTTATGAATTCAGCTTTTCAATTTGTTAAAGGGACAATGAGAAGACAGAGACTGGCTGAGATTAAAGCAGTCACGGATTGAAACTAACTAACAGGAATACAACACATCTTGCTTCAGACCGATGGACAAACAACTCAAACTCAACTCTAATTAAAAGCTCACTTTAGTGACTTTAGGGACATTCAAGTTTTTCGCACATTTCGCAGTCACCATAGTTTCTCCTCCGCACTTGGAAAGGGAGGGTGAAGGGAGTATGTTGCAATCTGCAACTACACCATTAGATTCCACTAAATACTACACACTGGACCTTTAAGCAGAACACATATTCATGACATTGCTGTCACAATAGCAGGTTAAAGGGTCAGTGCAGAAGTCAGATAATTATCTTGTCTCCTCAACTGCCAAAGGTAACATTGTAATGTTTTTCAGGCGGACATTTCAGCTTTCAATGACAGTAGTTTATTCTTATTCAAGAAAGTCTAACCAAAGCCAAATTATGTGGCAGATTCTCCTACCCTGAAAACACACACACACAAAATTTAAATCTTATAAACATTACCAAGAAAAAAAAAAAGTCAAATTAGCATTCAAGCATGCCTTCATCAATGCAATTGTCATGTTGAATAAATGTATTCAATATATAGCTGCCCTGAATGTAATGAGTATGTTCATGTCATATAAATCACTACTGTAAATATTCATTAACAAGACCTAATTACCATTTCAAAGCCAATGATAATGGCCACAGTGATATAGAGACAAGCAAGGCATTCAGTATGAATCAAACAATTTAAGAGGTTGATTTCCCGCAATGACTGCCAATTCAGCTGATGAAATGAACGTTACGCTTCAGCAGCCTGGGAGTATAAAAAATGAGTCTTCTTGTCCACTTGAATGAAAAATTCCCCATCTCTATATTGCAAATGTAACCTCTCCTACCTGGCAAACAGGAAAAAAGGAGAAAGTCTCATCATGCAATCAAACAATCAATCATAACAAGACACAAGAAGAGCAGTGATCATTACATACACAAATCAAACATTTCAAAAGCAGTATATCAGAGCAAATCACCTCGTCTGACAGAAAGTCATCCCACCCACCGGAGAAATATTTTGGTCAGTGTTTTTCTATTTAAATGCAAATTAAGTAACAGGTTTTTCACAGGCGCAGGGCCCATGGCCAAGGCGATTACTTTAATTAAATATTTTATATGTAAAAGCAGTAGAATTGCTCATGGTACCAAGCAGGTTCTTCAGCAGGGGTAAACGGCAGCAAATGCACATATGGGGTGCAGCCCAATGTAATACTGAAAAACCAGTGCATTTTGTTTAACAGGCTTAGTCATCATTTCTTAAAAAGTTGATTTAGTAAGAGAAATCCAGATGGCCAGATGTCCATGGTATATGCTTAAAATTCATTCCTATGAAATATCGTCCAACCACGTCCAAAATGTTTATAGACATATATAGAATATATAATGAAAACTCCTGTGTGGGCTGGAAAAGGCCCGTCATAGAGAATAATGGTTCAAACTGGGACTTTTGGACAATCGTTTCTCAAAGACATTCATGGCATTGTAGCCTACTTGTTCATACACACATTAAGTGACAGAAAACCCTCCCAACCAGTCCACCCCCCAGAGGTCCTGGGAATTTTGGGTACATCATTTGTGGTTGTTACAATGAGCTTTCTAACCAATATGGCCCTGAATTGTTTTCCCTTCCAGCAATACAGGTTGCTCCTAAACCATGGCAGTGAGCCCTCCAGTTGTGTCACCAG